AAACTTATTCGCTCAGATTTTGGCTTATAATCCACGGCTTGAACAATGTTTTCTCTCACACCAAACCAGCCAAAGAAGATTTTTTTAGCCATGGCTTATAAACCAATTCAAAAAAAACGAGAACAGGATGTTTGGATGGCCACCGCGTCGCTCTGGTCGATACCGTCTCCCCGCCATCGCGACCACGGCTGACCGATCGGTGACGGGCCCGTGATCTGGGCCTTGCCCACGTGGCCACAGCGCGCTGCTTGACCGTCACGGCGATCGCAGCATCAACGCGGGGCCCACCCCTCTCTGTCCCGCCGAGCAAGGATCGATCCATGGCTGCTGCGCAGCCAGCAAGGCGTCCCTCGAACCACGCAGCTGCCCATTGGGCTACTCTCTGACACGTCCAACACTCGTCGTACTTGACGGGCTGCTCCTGCGCGTGCTGCAGGTCCTCGGCCTGCTGCGGCCTCCTCGGCGGCGTCAGAGGAGGGGAAGGAGGAACGGCGGCGTCGGTGCTCAGACGGCGTCGGTCTCGGAGGGAAGGTCGGGTAGATGAATTGGTACGATCGATCAGTCATTTTAACAAAGTCAACGATTGAAGTCCTATAATTATGAAGCGCATTGTTTGATGTCATATAATTGCAATTTTCTCCAATATGTGTGTGTTTTGCCAATGCCCAGCAAAAACTAATCATGCTCGATGACTCTCAATGTTTGCTTTTAAAATGTACCGCTTGTGGTTAGATATTGAAGATTTTGATCCGTATCATCAGAATTTGTATTTGGCCACCAAGGATTGTAGCATGTTAGAACCATCAAACAGCTGCATACATATACAAGTGTCGACATTTGCTTTTTGTTATATATTATAAATTGGAAATATGACGTATAGAAATATAATACTTACCAGACAGTAGAATCTAAAAAGAAGAGTTTAAAACATGTACTAGTACCACACAGCTGCATATAAAAGTGTCGGCATTTCCTTTCGTTATATGATAAGTTGGAAAAAAAATGACGTAGAAATATAAACAGATATATAGGATCTAAAAAAGAGTTTAAAACATATTTGTACTATTTAATCTAACAAGAGATAAAAAAAAATTGGGGTGAGAGAGGCTCGAACTCTCGACCTCAGGATCACTCAAATTAGCTATGAGACCTACGCGCTAGCCAACTGCGCCACCACCCCGATGTTGCTTCCATTTTGTTTCCGCCTATAAGACTTTTGATTCCCATCTCACAGCAACACTGATGAACAGAGGCCATCTGTAGACTGTAGTTCTAGTTCACGTGACATCATTCATTTATGTGTTGGAAGCTTCAGAGTTCAAACCTAGGGAATTAAACCAAAACGACGCGGATTCTATATCCTCTACAGCAAAACGAGGCGTTGGAATATGAATTTAACATTTGGAATGGCAGCTGGTTGGATAAGATGTGGGTGGAGTAAATATCCGTTCGTGACAAAATATCTACTGGGTAAAATTTTATAGACGCATCCATACCTGCGGGTAAGATTTTAAACCTATACCTGCACCCATGAGCGAGACTATCACTAGAATAGATACAATCCTTTGGTTCTTTAGCGCTAGCGGGTGACACGATATGCCCGCACCGGCACTGGTGCCCGCAGGTAGAACCTTGTACCTGTACCCATACCCGCCAGTAAAATTTTGTACCCACATCAGCACCTATCAGATACAATGCCCACGGGTAGAATTGCCATCCCTATTTACAGTATTGTGCTATTTTTAGGCTATGTTGCTCCCCCTTCCAAACTAAATTAATGTTTGGTAGTCGTAAGTCTAACTAATTTTATAGAACAATACTAACGTCCACTGAACTAATTCAATACTTTATAAAATATATTTCATATTGTATCTAATGATGTTAACTTGGTCACATAATTATTGGTGCCGTTCTTCAAATTCAGTTAAATTTTAAAAGATTGTAACTAAGATAGCTCGTTGATTTATTTTCGGGTGGAGGTAATATTTGGAAAAAAACAATTTTCAGGTCGTGTTCTTAAAAAAGAAGAAGAGGTAAGCCGTTTCGAGGTTGATAGCAAAGCAACCTTTTTACCTTTCACTATTTTTCAGATGCCCGGAACGAACTCAAATCAAAGAACAAGAAAATGGGTAGGTGCGGGTATCTCGTTCTCGTGACGTGTGGGGACCTCAAAACTGGACATCGATTGTTGGATCACCGCAAAGATACTTCAAAAGTTTTTGGAAACAAATAAAGTATAATAACATAAGCACATGAGCACATGCGCAACTGATACAGATTAGATAGACACTCATAGAATCGATAAATGGGCGATGAGCGTAATGAACCTGACTTGGCTCCGGCCTTCGGTCTCTTGAGAAGTTGTACTCGTATTTGACACGCCCCCCTGCTGACAAGAACCACCACAGGTCATCAACACCAAGCATGCCTCGCAGAGTTCGGCAACTACCACCATGACCCAAGTGCGACTAGTCCAGCTGCAATGAAGGCTACTAGTTGTACTTCCCAAATCATATCCAGATTAAATTGTACACGAAGTTCGCATCATTAGCGGACGCGCGGCACATTTTTTTTCATCACGTATGTTACCGAACTAAGACCTCTTTTGAATATAGTTTTTTTTTTCATTTTTCCAATGTTTCTTTTAAAAAATAAACTGATTTTCTGTGTTCGATGAGACTCTAAACTAATCTAATTTATAGAGGAGACGGGATCATTCTTAACCAACAAACGAGTGCAATAAACTGGCTGATCGGTTGACTGGATCGTTTCGTTGCTGGTTCGTGAAGAAGTACTGCTGGCTAGTTTGTGTGAGAGAAAAATATTATTTCGGTTGAAAATTTACGACCGTTTACGACAAGCAACAGTCAAACGAACAGACTGAAGCGCCCTCTCTGCAGAAGTACATAACAAGGCTGTGCAGCTATTCTTTATATATAAAAAAAGGGCTGTGCAGCTACACTGGCCAGTCTGGCCTCTTGAAGAATCTGCTCCATGAAAACTGTCCGAATCTCCACGCCGAGGAATTCAGTGAAATTCAGCTCGGACATTCGTTACCGGACGCCAGGTTTCAGATGATTCAGACCACCCGGATTGTGTGAACTGCGTGTTAAGGGCACGTACAACGGCAACCTTCTGCCGTCTGTATACCTCGAGCTAAACAAAATACGCCGATGTGCTCGCGATTAAACGAGGAGAGAGATGGTTGCCGTCGCCTGGTGAGACGCCGGCTGTGCCTCGTGCTCCTATGCATAATCGGCAGCTGAGTGGCCGCTGTATGGATCGTTGCCCGCCGACGACGACTCCACCTGATCGTGTACATCGCCTGGTGACACATGTTGCATAGTTTGTGTCTGGTAGTGCCTTCTTTGAGCAGGTATTCACTTGAATGCACACATTCTGTAAACTGAATGTTCACTTGAACGCACATATTCTGCAATTCTATTTTCCAGTTACCTGCATGCTCACTTGATTTTGATTCTTGCTATGGAAACAAAGAAAATTAGACATAAATTTTTGGAGAAGAAGACGTATGTTATATTTGATTTATGAAATATATTATATTATATATATATATATATATATATATATATGGTTTATCCGGAAAGATTTCATCAATTAACAACACAATGGTATATAGAAATGATATTCATGATTGATCATAGCTATATGCAAGTATTAAAAAATTTATAGATAACCAAATAGACAGCAACTGTCTATAGATTGTATAAGTTATTTGTTCAGTCGTCTGTATTATAAATTTCAAGAACTTACAGACAACAACTATCTCTCTGTTGTACATGCCCTGTTGTGTTTCAGCTTCACACGTGGATCTCTCACGAAGACGAATCCGCTCTTTACCTTGCGCTCGCTAGACAAATCAAACTCCAACACAAGGAGGAGCATTAATTAATTAATTAATTAATTTATTTATTGGAAACACAAGGAGGAGCATTAAAGCACGGCGCCGAAGAAATAAAATGGCATCCACAGGAGACCCCGGGGACGTCACCGGTGATGCAAGCTTGCACCCCCTAGCCGTCTGATCGAGCCACTGTGTACGACGACGGACGGGACTGGAAGGAAGACCAGCAGAACTGGCAAGCTTGCGCGCACTTGCGCATTGAAAAGCCAAAAAGAAGAAGGTTGAATTTTAAAAACAAATAAAATCAGGGCTAACTAAGAGCTGTCCGAAAGATAATCATAAAAAGAAGCTGCGCATACGCGCGTCAAAATTAACGAATTCAAAGTGATTCCCATTATTTATCTAGACACACATATAAGTGCCTCTAATTTCACTAATTTTCATCTCACCCATTGGTTTTCTACTACTCAATCCGTCCTACGTTTTGACTTTTGTAGCTTTTATTATACACATAGATATACACTATAGCCATGTCCATTTAAATTTATCATTGTACATTTTCAACGAAATATCAATGTTTTTCTCTCACAACAAATCAGCATCAGCATCAACCGTTTTTTCAGCCAGCCGAACAGGACGTATATCTAGATACATGCTATGTTCAATGTATTTAGAAAAACCAAAACGTTGATAAATTGAAACGGATGGAGTAATTATTATTATTTGTCTGTCAAATGTGTCAGTAGTAGCGATTCAATTTTACAAGAGATTAAAAATGGATAAACTATAGGGACTTCTGTGTAAAAACTTGCTTGACAATTCGAACTAACTTGCTTGACAATACAAAACTTAAACAGAAGAACGAGGCGAGGCGGAATCGGAGTCGCTCAAGGTCACAGCGTCACAGGTGACTCACGATTCGAGCGACAGGAGAGGGCAGCACCGGAAACGAAGCCGAGAGGAGCGAACCTTCCGATTCGTGTGCCCTCCGTATCAAGATCACAGGTGCGGATTTGTGCGCGAAACAACTACGTACTATTCCCGGCCAAATTTCGGGGTCTGAAGCCGGATTTCTTTCTGAATTGCGCCCGCGGCCTAGGGTTGTGTTTGAATCGCGGGCGTTGGGAACCCAACTATGGCGAGGAAGATGCTCGTCGACGGGGAGGTGGCGGCCGTCGCGGACGCCGGGCAGTACGACTACGATCTCTTCGTCATCGGGGCGGGCAGCGGCGGCGTTCGCGGCTCTCGCTTCGCCGCCTCCTTCGGAGCTAAGGTTTGTTGGTTTTTCCCCCACCACATCCTTACCCTGTCAATTGTGTATCATATATCGGGCGCGCCTATGCCTGATGCCTCCTCGCCGTGACACCCGTGCCCATCCATCCACTGCCTCCGCGCTCCTCCCTCCGCGGCTCCGCCGCTTCCATTCCCCTGCCGGCCCCACCGGCTGCCACTTCCATGGTCGGCGGCTGGCACGCGTTGCCTGCTGCTGCCCTGAGAATATAGGATTTAGATCATTAGATGGCTGCCGCCTACCGCTGACGGCTGATCCGACCCTGCGGTTGGCTGGGCGGTTTAATGATTGAATTCCGTGGCAGCATGTTTTCTGTGGATTATTATTATGTTTCAAACCGCGTGGAACTGGATGCAGTTCGTATGATGTCAACGCTTCAGAGTGAAGTGTTCCTCTGCTGGTGTTTGCAGGGACTGCCCTCTTCACATCTCGCCTGCAATAGGAATCATATCATGTGTTTGCTGTCCTATTAGTGTCTGGATCTGTTGCTTGTTGTAATTAGTGTCCAGGTCTGTTGCTTGTTGTTTTTGACTTCTTGTGAGATTTGTGGCAGGCTGCAATTTGTGAGCTCCCATTCCACCCCATCAGCTCAGATTGGCTAGGAGGACATGGTGGGACGTAAGCATCTCCTAAATGTTTTTGTGCATTTCTTGTGCTTACTCAAAACATTCATCTAATCTGCTTGGTATATTGCATTATTGCTTCAATCTAAATCTGCATGCTCATAATGATCTTATTGTTGTCCTAGGTGTGTGATACGTGGTTGTGTACCCAAAAAGATACTTGTGTATGGTGCATCTTTCAGTGGAGAATTTGAGGTTAGTCATTTTACTGTCTTATTATGGTAGAACTAATGTAGGTATCCAAAATGGTTCTGAAGCGGCTGACATGGAATCTAAGAACACACTTGCTTTGATTGTAGATTGTATTTGAACTGTAGTTTTGTTACAAATGCAGGATTCAAAGAATTTTGGGTGGGAGATTAATGGAGACATTAACTTCAATTGGAAAAAGTTATTGGAAAATAAGGTCAGGTTTAATTCTCTACTATGAGTCTATGACTATGAGCAAATTCTCCACAACTGCTGACCCTGAAGGAATGTCATATTGCCCAAGGTCCTAAAATTTTTCCTTCTCTTCAGACTAAAGAAATTGTTAGATTAAATGGAGTGTATCAGAGGATCCTTACCAATGCCGGTGTGACAATGATTGAAGGGGCAGGCAGTCTAGTTGATGCTCATACTGTTGAAGTTAGCCAGCCCGATGGTTCAAAGCAAAGGTATACAGCGAAGCACATTTTGATTGCGACTGGTAGCCGTGCTCAACGTGTCAACATACCTGGAAAGGTTTGCAAAATTCCTCACCTACCTTTTGTCACTAAGTTGCACAGTTTAATTGCATTGATATTTGTTTGTTAGCTTATTGATGCTGAAGATTGATGATTGTTGGAATTTTCAATAGTCTAAATTCGACACTTCATGTTTGAATATGGTCTTGCACCGTGTTCCTTTCTTGAACTGTTTTGAGCGAGCCAAACAATAACTTTTTTATCTAAGGAAGCATACCATCTTTGTTATGATTTAGCCTCTGTTCATATTCATTCCGTCCTTCATCCTTCTGGTGAATTATTGTTAAAAACTAGTGAAAATAATCTATTTTTTTCAGGAGCTGGCTATTACTTCAGATGAGGCCTTGAGCTTGGAGGATCTTCCAAAGCGCGCTGTAATCCTCGGTGGCGGGTAGAGTGCTGTGTGCTACTTTAAACATATATTGTGCTGTTGCTCCAATTCTCTGACATACCTTTGTCCATGTGGCCGAATAATGCAGATATATTGCTGTTGAATTTGCTTCTATTTGGAGGGGGATGGGTGCTGAAGTAGATTTGTTCTATCGAAAAGACCTTCCTCTAAGGTTTGTAATTAAATTTTGGGAATCACTTCTCTTACTAGTTACTAATTCTTTAATGGCTAGCACGGGTTCTTGTTTAAGTAATACTCTTTTGTTCTTGCATTCTGGTTATCATCATGTTCTACTTTCATTTGCATATGGGTAATTTATTATCAATCCTGGTAGTGAATACAACTAGACTGGTCAACCTGTCCTCTGTCCATATTGTACATTGATGTATTTTTGAACAGCCATAATAATAGTGTCAATGTGAAATGCTAGCCTATGTTCTGTGATTAGTAAAAATAAAAAAGTCCCAAAAACTGTTTTTTTGTTGCTCTATTATGGATTCAGCTGCTGTGATATTACAGAGAAGTTTGTGATACAATAATACCAAAAACTGTGCATTGGTTCCACCATTATGTTATACATGCACATAAAGAGACCCACAGCGAATAGTATTTTAATGCGGCCATTGCACATGTGCGTGTGTTTTTGTTTTTCAGCTAGGGAGCGCAAATTGTTTTTCTTGTTTTTGGAACCTGGACATACGTATCTGATAACACACCTGCCTAGCAGGCATTTATTCCCTCCATCCATCTTTGATCTGTGTATTATAATAAGTAAGCACCGAGACCAAGGAGTCGTGTTCGCCAAGGTGCTATTCCGCACTCTCCTATGTGTGCTTATGCGTTGGGCAGCAGTGTACTGCAGACCTTGGGGTGTAGGCTCGAGCCAGCAGTGCAGGGGACGTTGGGTGGCAGTGGTGTGGGTGGGCGCAACCGGCGGGGGGCGGGCGGAGGCAGGCGACTGCAGAGGGTGCAGGCAGGGGTTTTTAGTTGAGAATGAGCCAGCGAAGGGATAAGGTGGCAGTGGGAAGCTTGGATAAGGTGTTGTTCAGATTTGAGATTTGGCTGTGCTTTGATGGCCCTTTCTCTACAAATCTAGGCCTACTGATCTCATGTTTTTCTCTTTCTTTTAGAGTACATGTATGTATATGGCAATGCCTCAGCGGAGGGTCATCCGCCTAGAGAGCGCCTAGTGGCTTTTGTAAGTTGTAACCTTGGCAAGGAGTACATAATCTCCTCCATAAACCATTACTCCACAGGAAACTAGCCACATTTTCATTGGAGAAAACGTCGAGAGCCAATCAGGAGAGCCGGAACATTTAAATTCTGCATGCAAACCAATCGGGAGAGGTACGACGATTTGATGCTGCTTGCAAACCGAAGTATCGTGCAACTCCCACCTGAGACACAACTGGCTTCTGCAGTTCCGTATGCAATGTGTAGATCAAATTTGGTTCTATATTTTTACGTATGCACAGATCAAGATTGATGGAGTATTATATAATGTGCTGATTATATGATACTTTCAAGTTTAGAAACAGGAATCTTGTTGCTATGATTGATGTGGACAGGAAAGATGGGCATAACATTATTAACAAACTGACTTGCAGAGGTTTTGATGATGAGATGAGAGCTGTTGTTGCAAGCAACCTTGAGGGAAGGGGAATCAAATTGCATCCAGGGACAAATCTGTCTGAGGTGATTTTAACTCAAGTACTACAGTGCATTTTGATTTCTATAAACGTCAGTTCTAAGTTGAATCAATTTCATTTCATTCTAACCAGTTGAGTAAAACGGCTGATGGCATAAAAGTTGTAACTGATAAAGGAGACGAGCTCATTGCAGATGTTGTTCTATTTGCGACAGGTATTTGGGATATCTCCCTCGTTGAATTTTATCTTATTTGTTGCATCAGAGCATTTGCTTAGAGATCCAGTTTTGGACTGCATGGTCTTCCTTGGCATCTTTGTTCAGAGGAGTTGGATGTCTCTTACAGTACTTCTAGGGTTTAGTACTACAATAAGAAATTCGAAAGAAAATATTTGTAGCTAAATGTTTCAGATATAAAACTGGCTGTATGCTTATTTGCTTTCAGGTTTTCTTGCAATACATGGAACCCAGTATTTTTAGTTTAATACTATATATCCATGCCTTGTATTTAATTGATTGCAGGGCGCACACCAAACTCCCAGAGACTGAACTTGCAAGCTGCAGGTGTCGAGGTTGACCAGATTGGGGCCATCAAGGTTACTTTTTCTTTCTTCCCTAGCTGTTTCTTCTTTGCCTGTGGGGTATATTTACACCTGGAATTTACTTCATATATATTTCTTTTAAAGCCACCCATAAATCTGACTGAGATCGTATTGAGCAGTTGAATTTATCACCAACAAGTTTTGGATTATTTTGAGTATTTTAAATGTTTTGTCTGTTTAGGTTGACGAATATTCTCGTACATCTGCTCCTAGTGTATGGGCTGTGGGTGATGTAACAAACCGGATCAATCTAACACCTGTTGCATTGATGGAGGCAACTTGCTTTGCCGTAAGTTGTTGCAGTAGAATTCGGTTAAGTTCTTTGTCTCTAACAAGCAGTTTCTTACCTTTGTCACATTTTCAACTGCAGAAAACTGTGTTTGGTGGCCAGCAAGTTAAGCCTGATCACAGAGATGTTCCTTGTGCTGTTTTCTCGTAAGTCACGCAATCTTAATCATTTTCAGCTGAATGGTGCTGTTCACATCTTTGTAATCGAACCAAGTTGCATGGTTTGCATGCTTGCACATATGCTTTGCAGTTTGCAGCACAATGATTGCAGTTTTAATCAAACCAAGTTGCATATTTTTTGTTTAATGTTTTTTTTTCAATGAAGCACCTGTGGTTTACTTGCCATCACAGGTATTTGCCTGTTTCTGCTTCTCTGTGTAGATTTTTGGTATTTGTTTTCTTCTTCTAAATCCATGTTGCTGAAATATTTATTAACATCTAATAACGTGTGAAAAATTGCTGGTGGTTTACTTGCTATCGCAGGTGTTTACTTGTTTCTGTGTCTATAGATTTTTGGTATTCGTTTAACTCTTCCAAATCCATGTTGCTGAAATATTAAATAGCAACTAATAACATGGGAAAAATTGCTAGCATAAATTTTCAGCTGTTTTGGGCCCTCTGAGTTGCACTTGTTTCATATCTAGGTGTAGTTGTTCTATGATGCGTCATGTTTTAGTTGGTGCAAATTTTTGGAGATGCGTTTTTCTTAAGAATTTATGCTTTGCTCCTTTATCATTGATCATCCTGCAATAACTTGAGACTATTATTGTTCCATAGCATTCCACCACTATCTGTAGTGGGCCTCAGCGAACAACAGGCCTTGGAGGAAGCCAATGGCGATATTCTTGTTTTCACCTCATCATTCAACCCAATGAAGAACAGCATATCCAAGTAAGCATAAGTATAAGTATAAATATCTAATATCATGAAATCGCCTGTTAGATGTTCTTGTCTGCTCCATTTTGCAAGCTTACACCCTGCTAGCTCTTGACATATGTGTCCTCTACTACATTCAGGATCTGAGTGTTCCCCTGTTTTCTTCAGTCATGAGCTCTGCTTGATAGTTTCTATATCTCCTACAGAAGTTTGTAATTCAGTTTATGTTTTCAGGCGTCAGGAGAAGACTGTCATGAAACTGGTAGTTGACGCTGAAACTGACAGAGTACTTGGTGCATCCATGTGTGGACCAGATGCACCTGAAATTATCCAGGTAAAGCATATGTATAGTTCTCTGGTGATTTTTCAGTATTTGGGTCCTCCCCATTCTTCGTTGTCTTATGACTGAGCTTTGGCATGATCCAGGGCATCGCTATTGCTCTTAAATGTGGAGCCACAAAAGCGAACTTCGACAGTACTGTATGTTTTGTTTAAAGAGGCCTCTTAAAGTAAAGCAACTGTTAATATTTTGCGCCTAATGGTGTATGCCTCTGTTGGCTTTTTAGGTCGGAATTCACCCTTCTGCTGCTGAAGAGTTTGTGACCATGCGGACCGTGACAAGGCGCGTGAGCCCGACATCCAAGCCAAAGACGAACTTGTAAGCAAGATTTGGTGTTTTGGGGAATGACACGCTACACAAATATTCTGGTTTCATTTTGTTAATTTTACATCATTCGAACTGTAACACTGTATATTGAAGGAATAAGATTTTTGCGTGACAGTCCACTCAAAATAATGAGATCGTAAAGTTTCGTGATCTAAATAAAAGCTCAAGCTGTGAGGCCTGAGGATGTTTATGGTTGCATTGGTTCTCTGCATCTGAAGTCTGCTAGCTTAGAACGCCTTTGGTCCTCGTTAATATAGTTAGTGGCCGTACCTGTTCAAGTAATGACGATTGGCGAAGGCTTACAGGTCGAATGCATTAACCTATCGTACTCGTGGCACTGTGATTTGAGAAACCAGCACATATTCCAGTGAGGTTTGTCTCTAACTGCAATCAATTTAGCACAAGAGATCTGACCCAGGATTCCAGAAAAGTGCGTCTGCGTGCGTCTTAAATTGAGCCGAGATCCATGAACACGCGAGCAGTGGTGCCAGTACTGTTGCGTCTTAAAATGCGCTGAGGTCCATGAACACGAGCAGTGGCGCCAGTACTGTTTAGCTGAGCTGACACAGCTACAGTTGCGGGAGCTTGTGTTGTGTGTACCATTTGCTCTCTCTGGTCGGTAGTCGATAGTCACTGATGAGAAAGCTCAGCTGCAACTAATATCTGGTGTAGGTCAAATTGACCGGTTATTATATATGGATCAATCTGTCTAGCTCGACGTGCGTGTATAAAGGTAAAGATGGAAACTTGGCTATGTCATGTGCAACTGCAAGCGACTGTGATGCCAGGTCCCATCGTGTCCTCAGAGTAGACACTGCACAGAGAGATGATGGCGTTGGAAAGTCCTGGGCAATTTATGGTGCGAGATTTCAGCACAAGAACTACGGGCCTCGCCTGTTATAGCCCATGGGCCGTGGGCCGTCATCTGTAATGGGCTAAGTGTGTGTGTTCGCCTTAGGCGGTTGGCGGCCAGCGAGCTTATAAGCTGCGCCGTTGTAACAGAATAACCAACGAAGAACAGAACTCCGATTTCCCCCAAGTAATCCAAACCCACGGACTATGCCGTGTTCCGTCCTGTTCTTCCCCAATTTCTTGCTACGTTTCCCCCCAATTCCATTCAGTTATCAGGAATCGTAACATTTGGTATCAGGAGCTTGGTTGATTTGGCCGGAATTTTTTTCCCCAAATCCTGGCGCCGAAGAAGAAGAATCCGCCCAAATTTCAGTTAGAAATGGCGGCCTTCGTCGACGAATTGAAGACGACGATGCAGGCCATGGCGAAGCAGTTCGACAGGTTCCAGGACATGATGTCCACCGCCTTAGACAAGCTTGGAGCGCTCGAGACCTGGAAGGAGACGGCGGACGGGTCGCTCGGCACCCTGTTGCAGAAGACCACGGCGACGGCGACTCGGGTCGAGGAGACGGCGTCGCGTGTGTCTCGCCTCGAGTTTCGTCCTCCACCACCACCACCGCCCCTGCCGCCACCTCATTGGAGCGTGCAACACCATCCACCACCAGTTGCGAATTGGAGCGTGCAACACCATCCGCCACCAGCTGCGGCAGGTCTCGACCTCAACACTGCTCCCGGAGCGTCGTCAAGTGCGACGCCTCCGCGACCAAACTCGCGCATGGGGCACGACGATGATAATCAAATCCGGGACGCTGGCGGTGGAATCCTCGGATTTACCCCGCCTCGCCCGGGCAACAGTACGCACTATGGTCCCGTTTCCCAACCCCTTCCAGTTCAAGCTCCTGCTTCTGATGAGGATTCAGGACATCACAATCCCCTGTTTCCGAAGATGGAATTCCCCAAATTCGATGGATCTAACCCCCGTTGGTGGCGTGATCAATGTGAACTATATTTCGAGGTATATGCCATCCACGCGACGATGAAGACGCGCTTCGCCGCGCTGAATTTCAAGGAGCCCGTGGCGACCTGGTTGCAGACCGTGCAGCGGCGTGGAAGGATTGCCTACTGGAAGCGGCTGTGCGAGCTCGTGATGGTGAAATTCGACAAGGATCAGTACGAGGTACTTCTCCTGCAATTCAATGCCCTGAAGCAGACTGCCTCGGTGCTGGAGTACCAGGCGGCATTCGAGAAGCTCGCACATGGTGTATTGCTCTACAACCCGGCGTACGACGACACCTTCGTCACATGGTTCGTGGGTGATCTCCGCGACGACATCAGGTCGGCGTTGCTGCTTCACCGGCCTCGCGATGTCGACACCGCGAGTGCTCTGGCGCTGATTCAAGAACAAGAACTAGAGCAGGATCTTCCGAAGTCATCTGGGCAGGATTTCACCAGATCGACTTCTCACACATTGGTGGGAACGGAGAAGCCAAAGGGCTGTTGAAGCAAACAAGCCAGTAATCAAGACTCACAAGACTGAAACAGAAGATAAATTGGTTAGCCTCAAGTCTTTCAGACGAAGAAATGGAATAAACTTCAAGTTTGGCGAGAAATGGAGACCGGCTCATCATTGCCGTCCTCATGTTTCCTTGCATGTACAGGAGGAGATCCTAGATGTCTTGGACATTGTGGATACTTCTAATGATCATGACAGTGATGAAGAGGAGACACCCCAACAAGAGGTGCTGACAGTACAGTCTGTGCCTAACACTCAGCAAGCTCCTAGACAAACCCTGAAGCTGTTAGCTCAGATTGGGAAGCACAAGGTGCTGATATTGGTTGATTCTGGAAGTGTTGGGACCTTTGTGAGTGAACAACTGGTTAAGCATCTAAAGCTTGATACATCTGCTTGTGACACCAGTACCTTTAGAGCAGCTGATGGGGGTATGATGCTTTGTGACAAGAAAGTCTCTCAGTTGAGATGGTTTATTTAGGGGAACAATTTTGTCTCAGATGCAAAAGTGCTACCTCTCAAGTGTTATGATTTGATCCTTGGAGAGGATTGGTTGGAAGAGTTCAGCCCAATGACAATTGATTACAAGCTTAAGTCAATTCAGTTTACTTATCAAAGCAAGACCATCAAGTTGCAGGGAGTTGTGGATTATACTACTGCTTGTACTCCTGTCAGTGTTCACAAGCTCAAGGGATTACTTAAAAGTGGAGCAGTGTCCCATTGTGTTCAAATGAGGGTGCCTATAGCACTACTATTTCTGCTTTAGAAACTGATGATACAAAGCTGAACAGTGATGAGGTGTTGCCTTCAGGAGTATCTGAAGTATTGAGCCAGTACAATCATCTGTTTGCTGAACCTACTAGGTTACCTCCTTCCAGAATAGCATATCACAAGATTCCACTGGTCCCAGGAGCCCAACCAGTCAAGGTGAGACCATACAAATACTCACCAATCCAGAAAACAAAAATTGAAAAACAATTGAAGCAAATGTTAACACAAGGAGTGATTAGACCTAGTACCAGTTCCTTTGCTTCACCTGTGCTGCTTGTTAGAAAAAAACGATGGTACCTGGAGGTTTTCATTGATTATAGGCAATTGAATGCTATTACTGTCAAGCATAAGCATCCCCATGCCTATGGTAGATGAATTACTTGATGAATTAGCTGGCTCTAAATGGTTCACCAAGTTGGATTTCAGATCTGGATATCATCAAATTTGTATGGCTGCTGGTGAGGAATACAAAACAGCATTTAGAACACATAATGGTCTATTTGAGTTTCTAGTCATGCCCTTTGGACTGACCAATGCACCAGCCATCTTTCAAAGCTTTATGAATGAAATATTTGCTGAATTGCTGAGAAAAGGAGTGTTGGTATTCATGGATGATATCCTAATATACTCCAAGTCACTAGATGATCATATTTCATTGCTTCAGAAAGTGTTTGCAATTCTGGAAAAACATCAATTCTTGATTAAGAGATTCAAGTGCTCTTTTGCCAGAAACACTGTGGAGTATTTAGGGTATGTCATTTTAGAAGCTGGGGTAGCCACTAATAGTTCCAAGATTCAGGCAGTGAGTCTTTGGCCTACTCCAAAAACAGTCAAGCAGCTTAGAGGTTTTTTGGGCTTAACTGGCTACTACAGGAAATTCATAAAACATTATGATCTGCTCAGTAAGCCACTCACTGATCTATTGAGGAAGAATGTGCGGTTCCTAGTGGACTCTTGCTGCTAATATTGCATTTGAACAATTGAAGAAATAGCTTATGCAAGCCCCAGTTTTAGTTGTTCCAGACTTTTCACATCAATTTGTGATTGAAACTGATGCCAGTGATCTTGGCATTGGAGCAGTGTTAATGCAAAATCAGCATCCAGTGGCCTATTTGAGCAAGGCTCTTGGACCAAGGAACCAAGCCTTATCTGTATATGAAAAAGAATGCTTGGCCATCTTGCTTGCAATTGAGAAATGGAGGCCATATCTGCAGCACCAACCATTTGTTATCAAGACAGACCACAGGAGTCTACAACACCTCACTGAAGAGAGGGTTTCTACTAAAATTCAGCACAAGGCATTAATCAAGCTCATGGATCTCCAATATACAATTCAGTACAAAAAAAGAGTGAACAATGCAGCTGCAGATGCCTTATCAAGATGTGAGCACCAGAATACAGTCCATGCCATATCTAAATGTTTACCTACTTGGGTTCAGCGGTTGCAAGAGGGCTATGAAGATGATGATCATGCAAACAACTTCTAGTGGAATTGGTTGTAGCCCCTGACAGCCATCAGGATTATAAACTGTAGAATGGTGTGCCGAAATATAAAGGAAGAGTGTGGGTTGGCAACAATACCACTGCTCAGAATCATATCCTAGTGGCCTTACATGATAGTGGGTTGGGAGGACACTCTGAAATTAGTGTAACATATGCAAAAGTGAAATAGTTTTTTCTTGGCCTAGCTTGAAGCAGTCAGTCCATGAGTTTGTGAAGCAATGCCAGATATGCCAGCAAGCCAAAACAGAGACAATAAAAACCCCAGGACTCTTGCAGCCACTGCCAGTACCAAGTCAAGCATGGGAGATTATTAGCCTGGACTTTGTTGAAGGGCTGTCTACATCTGACAATTTCAATGCACTGTTGGTGGTGATTGACAAGTTCACGAAGTATGAACACTTTATACCAATCAAACACCCCTTCACTGCATTACAGATTGATCAAGTTTTCATGAACAATGTATATAAGCTTCATGGGCTACCGAAGACTATCATTTTAGACAGAGATCGAGTGTTTACAAGTGCCATTTGGCGGCAATTGTTCAAACTGTCCGATACAAAGCTGATGATGAGTTCATCCTACCACCCTCAAACCGATGGATAGACCAAATGCCTTAATCAGTGTGTTGAGGGATTTCTCAGATGCACTGTTCATTCATGTCCTCGGCAGTGGAGTAAGTGGATCTCAGTCGCGGAGTTCTGGTACAACACTTCAGTACACTCAGCTCTGGTCAAATCACCTTTTGAAGTTTTATATGGCTATACACCTAGGCAGTTGGGCATCTCTAATCTGCAGCTGTGTAGTATACCAGATTTGGAGAAGTGGCTTACTGACCAAGAGTTCTTATCTCAGTTGATCAAGCAACAATTGCTAAGGGCTCAACAGCTGAAAGAGAGTCTGCAATGGGTGATTCAATATTTCTCAAACTTCAGCCCTATGTTCAGTCTACGGTGGCTTCTCAGTCGAATCACAAGCTGTCATTCAGATTTTATGGCCCATACAAGATAATTCAGCGTGTGGGGCAAGTGGCGTACAAGCTTGATCTTCCACCTGATGCAAAGATACATCCAGTTATTCATGTGTCCCAGCTCAAGCAACATATTGCGGCAACGGTGTCAGTAAGTTCAGACTTATCCTCTGTCTGTTCTGATCCTTCACAGATCATGTGGCCCCAACGCGTGCTGGAGAAGTGTTCGGTTCTACGAGGCGATACGGTGGTGCCTCAGTTCCTCATCCAGTGGAGTGACTTACCATCTGAGATGGCCACTTGGGAGGACGCCGAGATGATGTCTGAACACTTGATATCCATGGAAGGGTGACATTGTCGGATTTGCTACAGATTGAGGACAAGCTATCGATCAAGGAGGGAGAAGTGTTATAGCCCATGGGCCATGGGCCGTCATCTGTAATGGGCTAAGTGTCTGTGTTCGCCTTAGATGGTTGGCGGCCAGCGAGCTTATAAGCTGCGCCGTTGTAACAGAATAACCAACGAAGAACAGAACTCTGATTTCCCCCAAGTAATCCAAACCCATGGACTCTGCCGTGTTCCGTCCTGTTCTTCCCCAATTTCTTCCTACGTCCCCCCCCAATTCCATTCAGTTATCAGGCATCGTAACATCGCCGCGCCTCGTGGTGTTCACGCATGGCGTGCGCAATCTTACTCCTAGCGATGATATTGACGAATTTTGAATGAAGATGAAGAGTCAACAATTGACAATGGCCTTGCTTTTGTAGTCCGTCTCTGCGGACAAGGGCTAGTTGGGTCGCAGGTGCCGGTGCGGTGCGATAGTAGTGTGTGGAATGTTTCATCTGGTTCATGTTCATTCTGGCGCTCACCGCCATCCACGCATAGAAGAAGCACCGAAGCAGCAGATCATCATGGATTCATGGGGCACCGCCGAGGACGCGGCGTTCCACCGAACCGCGGGTATATCGCCTTGACAACGCCCATGCAGGCAGGGCACGCCAGCCGGGGGCGTTCCGTCACGTGCCGCGTGCCGCGCGCCGTGCTGTGCCGTCCGCGCGCGCGGTTGTTTTCAATTGGTATCAACTATACTAAAAAGGAAATAGCCCCGGACCCCGGTGGCCGGCGCCGCAGCGCGCGAGAAGAGGCGGTCCAGGAACACGCAGGCCGCAGGCTGCATGCGTCCGTGCGGGGGGACTGGAGTACTGGACACTGGAGCCGCGCATCGGTGGGTGGCGTGAGTGCTGACTGCTGAGCCTCGGATATGGGTATGGCTACGTGTGCAAATGGTGTAGATATTTTCCGTCGAATCAGTTTAGAGGAGTTTGGATATTAATATCCAATAGCGAATATTCAAATGGAATATAAATGATGTTCATATTTTATTCGACACTTATCCGAATACGAATTCAAGAAATGTTGGTGGTATCCGAACAGGAACCTATGTCCAAGGCTAATAAGAGCAAGTAAAATAATTGGGTTATAGCCAAACTAATGCTGATGTGGATGAGAGAGAGCTTGGCTCTCATGCAAGCAACAAGCGGTGTACGGAAGCATATGCAGTTGTAGGCTCATACATTAAGTGAATGTGAGGAAGATTAAGAAAGAGAATGTGAGATATTGGTACTAAGTAATAAAAAAGTTTTTTATAAATAAATAAGAGATACTATTGTATAGTTTGGCTCTTATAAATTGGCTAATAGTCAAACACCTACTCTTTCATTGGACTTGCTCTGAGGTGCCTGGACATCAGCCAGTTAGGTGACAGGCAACGTCCTCGCCATGCGCTGTGCTCAAATGAGAGCAGCAAATGCAATCTAGCTACTCCTGTTAGAATTGGCCTAGCCCGGTGTAACGCTCCGGGAAAACAGGTTAAGACCCACTCTACATATTAAATGAGCCACACTCTACTAATTAACTCTCTTGCACTTTCGTTCTCGCTTCGCGTAAAAGAATCGATCCGAAGTTAACTAGGAATACTCGATCTGGAGTTAACCAGGAATACTAGTACCTCATCGCCCAACTGGCCCAATGAGGTGGGTCTCACACCCTCATTGCGTTGCTTGCCAATGGAAAGCACGCACGTACATATGACATGATTGGCCAACGAGACTGAGGCCCCGTTTAGTTTGTCCCAGAATCCAAAATTTTTTGCACAGTAACCATCACATCGAATCTTACGGCACATGTATGGAGTACTAAATGTAGATGAAAAAAAAACTAATTACACAATTAACCGAGAAATCGTGAGACGAATCTTTTAAGCCTAAATAGTCCATAATTGAACAATTTTTACCAAATACAAACGAAAATGCTACAGTAGCTAAAAGCCAAAAAATTTCGGAACTAAACACGCCTAAGAGAGCGAGACATGCCTGCATCATGCATGCATGGCAACGGGACCCCCTGCTGTCTGCTGATTGCTGAAGCACAGTGGGGCACCTTCTGCCTTGGACGAAGTTGCAAACTTTTTGCGCTAGCCATTACTTAGAGCTTTAATGGGGGTCTCGGTCGCTCTGGCTATCCTGTTCCCGGCCCGCGCATGCAGCCGCAGCGAAGCGTGTACACGCTGGCCTACCCTGTCGCCACCTTGTTGTACGACGCCTCGACCAACCTGCATGGAATGCATGCCCGGTGCTACTACAGTTGCTTCTGACGCTAACTAGTTGTATGTACCAACACGTACGTCTCCTGCTCATCTATGGCCTGTCTATTCTTCTTCATAATACGTACCACGAGGACATCAATGCAGGCTGCTACAATTAATTTGCCCAGAAATTTCACATTCAATCAAATTTTGAAAAAAAAATGTACGTACTCGGCTTCTCCACTCTAGCACGGAAATTTTTTGTCCTGTTCGCTTGCTCGTAAATGATCGTAAATTTCTAGTCGGGAACAGTATTTTTCTCTTACACCAAACCAGCCAGCAGTAAATAATCCACGATACGATACGGCCTCCCGAACAGGCTGTTTGTTTTTCTAGCTCCACCTCTGTGTGCAACTAATCATATAGGCTTGGACCATTTCAGTTAGGTGTTGACAAGTTCGACAACGGAAATTTTGTAGGACGTTCGATATGGTTTAGTTGTCGCATTTAATCCGGATCCATAAAAACGAGATTTTAGCACACAACCTCTCTATTTGATAGGGGCGGGCACATCAGAAACCGCTTCTATAAATAGTCAAGCAACCTTCAAAAAATGTTTGTCTCTAAAAATGATTTATAGATCACCTGCGTAAATGATCATTCTAAGCAAAATCGATTAAGAGAGGCGACATCTTAAGATGTCCATCTCTATAAATAATTGCATCCAAAATAATTCATAACTTTTCCATATGAACTTGTATAAAGACAAATTTTATATCAAAATTGTGGTTCTCGATGCAATCTACACATTTTTAGTTGAGAAGTTTTTGTTTTAAAATTGTTTAGATTCCCAAAAATATTGTTTTAATTTTATGGATTTAGAAAATTTGAAATTTAAATTTTTAAATAACCTTGGATATTGACATAACTACAACTTTGTAGTTGAAAAGTTTTTGATTTAAAGTCGTTGAGAGTCCTAAATATGTGTGTTAATTTTATAGATTTTGAAATTTGAAATTTGTAAACGATCTTGAACGTTCACATAGCTATACCAAGTTGTAGTAGCTGACCTGATCTACATTTTTGTAATTAATAAGGTTTTTATTTGAAGTAGTTTAGTGTCTTAAATATTTATTTTAAATTCACATATTTTGATATTCAATTTTTAAATTTTTTCAAACAGTCTCATACGGAGACATGGCTGATGGTGCCAAAAGACGTCGAGTTATGGGGCGTATAGAGCAATGCCATTATTAGGCAAAGGAGATTTGGAGAGAAATGGACCATCGTCACTTCCCATGCTGAGAGAGAATGCTATGCGGAGAGACCTCTAGCAACTCCACCAGATTGAACATCCTATTTTCCTAAAATATCAATAGGAGATTGAGAAAAAAATGAGTTAAATACACTAGCGGCCCTTAAACTTGTAGCTC